TCATCCCTGGCACGCGTATGTCTACTGGGAGTATTGCAGCAAAGATGACTGCAAGCTCCACTGGAAAAAGAAACACCAGAATCAGTTGTTTCCCCGATCCTCGCCCAGGATACACTTCAGAGACGCAGAGCAAGTTCACGCCCTCAGGCGAAGCCAGTCTGAAGGGGACTTGCCTATCAAAAGCGAACAGGTATACGAGAAATACCCACATCTGCTAGACAAAGCAGAAGAGCGAGGGAAACGATCTCCCCAAGGACCACCATTGGAAGCGGATGAATACTATCCTTCCTCGGACGAGTCAAAAAACTAGGAGTCCTTGACGGTAGGCCACCGGCGAGCGACACGAAGAGGCCTAGTACAGACCAGCTATGCGCCACGACGGGCAGCATGCAACTATATGTGGTCGCTAAGATACAACAGCGACACCTCCGAGCAATGATTGACTCAGGAGCGACGGGCAACTTTATGACAAAGAAAGTAGCAGACACGCAAGGTTTCAAGACACAATTGAAAACTGAACCATACCCGTTAATGGTCGTAGATGGAGAGCCCATCTCGACTAATGAAGGAATGGTGACCCACGAAACGGTCCCATTGGAAATGGTCATGCTACACGGGCACAAGGAAACGATTCAGTTTGACATCGTGCACATGGACAACCATGCGTGCATCCTTGGTGTGCCATGGCTCAAGAAACACAACCCCCAGATCGACTGGTGGAACGAGAAAGTTGTGATGAGCCAGTGCGCGTGTGAACAACGGACGGACACGCGACAACGGGAGAAACCCTCCCAGGGCCGGAAGGAGTTATGTGCAACCTCCGAGCTCGATGACCTAGCCCAGGCATCCTCACCGACGAGTATACCGGTGGAGTACAAGGAATACGAGCAATTATTCCAGGAAGGCCCTAAGAACGAGGCGCTTCCTAAGCACCAACCATGGGATCACGAGATACCTTTGGAGAAAGACAAGAGTCCACCGTTTGGACCAATATATCAGCTATCGGAAAAGGAGCTGAAGGTACTTAAGGAGTACATTGATGATAACCTAGCGAAAGGATTCATCAGACCATCCACATCACCAGCAGGAAGTCCGGTGCTTTTCGTACCAAAGAAAGACGGCTCCCTACGGTTATGTGTGGACTATCGAGCGTTGAACAACATCACAATCAAGGACAGGTATGCCCTGCCATTAATCAACGAACTACACGATAGATTTCAAGGAGCAAAGATCTTCAGTAAGCTAGATCTGCGAGGAGCATACAACCTGATCCGAATCAAGGCTGGGGAAGAGTGGAAAACAGCATTCCGCACCCGCTATGGCCTATTCGAGTATCAAGTCATGCCCTTTGGGCTAACAAACGCACCCGCATCCATGCAACGACTGATGAATGATGCTTTGCACGAATACTTAGACATCTTTACCATTGTCTACCTAGACGATGTCCTGGTGTATTCAGCAACCAAGGAGGAGCATGTCAAGCATGTCAAACTCGTCCTGAAGAAACTAAAGGAGTACAGCTTACTCCTCAAACCAGAGAAGTGCGAGTTCCATAAAAACCAAGTCGAATTCTTGGGTTACATTATCGGAACGCACGGCATCAAGATGGACCAAGCAAAAGTAACGGCAGTGTTGGAATGGCCAACACCGACCACGGTCAAGGAAGTGCAAGCCTTCCTAGGCTTCGCCAACTTCTACCGAAGATTCATCTCAGGATATTCCAAGGTAGCTCAACCACTCACGGAGCTTACCAGAAAGGATCTCGAATTCAAATGGACGGACAAGGCAGAGGCTGCTTTCCAGGAACTTAAGACGAAGTTCACGGAAGCACCTATCCTTGCTACATTTGACCCTGCAAAGAAGATCATCCTCGAAACGGACTCTTCTGACTTCGCAATTGGAGCATGTCTGAATCAACCAGACGAGAACGGTAAGTTCAAACCAATCGCGTACTACTCTAGGAAACTGTCACCCGCGGAACTCAATTACGACATCCACAACAAGGAGCTACTGGCTATTGTCGTTGCCTTTGAGCAGTGGCGAGTATATCTTGAGGGACCCACCTACCCGGTGCAGGTATGGACGGATCACAAGAACCTCATATACTTCACCACGACCAAGGTTTTAAACCACAGACAAGTCCGCTGGGCAGAAACCCTCGCAGCCTACAACTTCACGATAACCTATCGCAAGGGCTCCGAGAATGCAAGAGCAGACGCTCTCAGCAGACGGACCGACTACGCCGGCCCAAAGGAAGAAAGACCTAGAGCAATTCTGAAGAAAACAGATGCAGGAATACAGTACAATGAGTTACTAGCGACGATCTCAGTCATCGAAGATACAGAACTCGAGGAAAGACTCAAGAAAGCTTACGCAACAGACGAATGCGCCAAGCGAGTCTTGTCCAAAGTCGAAGGCGACTTCGCCATCGACGAACAAGGATTGATTCGATACAAAGGGTTAGTGTATGTCCCAAGTCAAATGAGACGCCCGCTGGTGCAAGAACAACACTCGTTACCAGCACACGGTCATCAGGGAGTAACACGAACCTTCGAACGAATCACCCGACACTACTACTTCCCAGGTATGAGGAAGCAGGTAGAGACAGTGGTAAGAGAGTGCGACATTTGCAGCAAGTCAAAATCCAATAGGCACCTGCCATACGGACAACTCAAGTCGACACCAGTACCAAAAGGAGCGTGGAAATCAATAGCTTTGGACTTCGTCGTCAAGCTTCCACCCTCCAAGGACCCGTTAACAGGAATAGAATACGACTCTATCCTCGTCATCACGGAAAGACTCACGAAATATGGGAAGTTTATACCATATCTAGAAGCTAGCGACGCCGAGGCGCTCGCATATACCTTCATTCGAGTCATATTAGCCGATCATGGGATGCCAGAAGAAATCATCTCAGATAGAGACAAGCTTTTTACTTCGAAATTTTGGAAATCTTTAATGGCACTTTTGGGAACAAATCATAAGCTATCAACAGCTTTCCATCCCCAAACAGACGGTCAAACAGAAAGACTGAATCAAACCCTTGAACAATACCTACGGAGTTATGTCAACCACCAACAAGACAATTGGGTTCAGATATTACCCATCGCACAGTTCGCATATAACAGCGCGATGACCGAAGCAACAAAAGTCTCACCGTTCTTTGCCAATTACGGCTATCAGCCAGAGGCATATAGACAACCACGACCGGATGAATCAAGAGCAGAACAAGCTATGATCGCTGTGGAACAACTGAAATCGTTCCATGAACAACTCGCGACAGACATCCAATTCTTAAATGAACGATCTGCCGCGTATGCAAACAAGAAGCGCAGTATGGAACCTGCCTTCAAGGAGGGGGATAAAGTATACCTACTCCGGAAACATATCAAAACGAAACGACCAAGTACAAAGTTGGACTTCAAGAAATTGGGACCATTCAAAATATTGAACAAAGTCAGCTCAGTTAATTACAGACTGCAGCTACCCAAGAAGTCTAGACTACACCCGGTATTTCATGTCTCACTACTGGAACCAGCAAGAGGAAATACCCCAATTGCGACAGATACAGAACTTCAACCAGAGAATGAGATTGTTGAATACGAAGTCGAAGCGATCCTAGACAGAAGGTTAGTAGGACGCAAAGAAGAGTTTTTGATAAAATGGAAAGGTTACGAACCTACGGACAATTCATGGGAAACGGTCAGAAACCTTAGCTGTCCAGAGCTACTGGAGGCGTTTCGCCGTCGACACCCAAGCGATCAAAGAAGCCAGGAGACAGGGCCACGAAAAGGTCCTGGTCAGGGGCAGCACCCTCGGAAACGGCAGTAGAAGGGCTGTGCAAGAGAGTCCCTTTGACCTCTGCCTCCCTACACTCCTTCTCCTCTGCTTCATCCAATTCGTCCAAAGATTTCAGACCACGACGCAGCATCTCAACACCGCAGGTTTTGAGAGCCTTCTGCTGTTTGCGAAGACGCATGCGACGGGCATATGCTTCTTGAGCACAGAGGTGAGCCTCTCGCTCCTGAGATGCCGCTGCTTCCTCTTCTACCTCAAGACGCTCTTCTTCTTTTCGAAGCTTCTCCCAATCAGTTGGAGAAGGGGCGCAAGCGTTGCATTTGGAATTGCGACGAGTACATTCACTACAACGATGACTACCAGCAACAACAATACAGAATCGATTGTTGTGAAGACAGCTGGAACATGGCGACATTAGGTTGCCGTTCTTTTCAATACGGTCTGCAAGAAGATGACATTCTTTGATTTTTATGTGTCTACTAGAAGATATGGTAAGCAGCGCAACCTGCTTGACAATTAAGTGGGCATCACCCTACTTAAGTAAGCGATTCCTTAATCAGCAAGACCTAAGGGACTAGGCCTTTTGGAGGAGGACCTAGTGTTACGGCTATAGTAACATGATGTCATGGTTACAGGGCCAGGGCCTAGTAACGTGACGTGTGAGTCACATAACGTGACGTGCGAGTCACAGTGGGAAGCGGGGTAGGCTGCCATGTGACGGGGCTAATGGATAGTTGCAGAAACTAGTGGATATTGGATAGTTGAGCTATCCACGAACTATCCTGAATATCTAGCTATCCGCCAACTATCCAGATTACCCATGAGGCACGACGCCACTATATAAGTAGATAGTATTTCCTTAGATAGGAGCTTCGTGCTCAACTCAATACAGTATTTGTTATATACTAGTAACGTGTTACTTGAAGCCTTTGTGTCTAATCCCCTGCCTCCTCTGATAAGTAAACCTTTATGCAAGAGAACCTCTGTGTCTTCTATCGTTTAGAAGTCAGCGTTACAGTTGTGAGGAGAAGCTGGGATTGCTTCCCTTGCCTGCCATATTCTGAATGACACACATCCGGAGGCCGACTCAGCACAATATCAAGCGCTGGTGATATTTTGAACAACGCAGGCTCGGTTTCACACATCCCCCATTGCTGGTACCATGCCTTCTTTTTTGCAGGAGGAAGTGTGCTTCTATGCTCTCAGAGCTGGACTTGGTGATGGTGGTATCGGCCAAGCCTCATGTAGTCAAAGTGGATGTCTCCACGCTCCTCTTTCGAGGCCAAGCAGCTTCTGCAGCCCTTGGCTGCATTCTGGCGTAGTATCCCAGCATTATCGTTCTGCTGGGGCATGTCCCTAATATATCCTAGCATAAAAGCCATAACCAGCTTTTTCTCGCCATTGATATTAAGGGACATGCCCCTATCCAGCTTTGGGAGGTCCAAAATGGACAGCAGAACATCATCCAGGTTTGACCCATGCAGTCCAAGAGTGATCACAAAGACATTTGCACGATGCATCCGCGTCTTAAGGGGCTGGGCAGCAAGTGTAACATACACACCAGTCATTGATCGGTACATATTGCGATACAAACCAAAACCATCAATGAACATGAGCCATGGGACTGAGTTAAAGCCTTGTTCGAGGGCTTTAACTATCCATTCTCACCCGTAGGCCTTCAGTTCAAGCTCCGCCACATGTGGGTGGGATTGTGCAGCCGGCCGTATCTCTTCGTGCATGGTGTTCAACACCCTTCTGATTTGTGACTGTGGTTTGAAGCCATGATTCTGTTGACCTAGAATCCCGTTCCCAAACGTGTAGTCTACCGTTATATCAAGCTGCTGGACTAAATCCTTGGGCAAAACAAACTTGAAGTCATCTTCGGATAAGAGCTTCTCAAGGCGAGTCAGTGGGACTGGCAATTCAGACCCAATGTTTCTGATCTTTGGTGATAACTCAGCTGTTGAATAGACCATCTGGATCTTTACAACTGGCTTGCCTCTCTCGATGGCATCTCTTCTTTTATCGATTCCAATGCTATAAACTCGGCAAACTCGGACGCCGCCTTTCTTCTTCGAGTTATACTCCACAAACTCAGAGCAGATAACTGGTAGTCTATCAGAGAATGTAATATGCTCTCCAGACGTTGTCCGCAGCGAGCAAAGCCACACGTCACTTTCCCATATCTCGTTTGGGGTATCCACGAATGCCCCGAGTCCCTTCCAGAAGTCCTTGTGGAGGTCTTCCACTGACAATATTGCAGTTACCAATGTTGCAACATCAAACCAGTGTGCATCAGCCTGGCGGTCCTTTTTTGGGCCTGTCTTCTCCGCCGGCATCATTGTCGGGAGCTTCTCTTGGTTGAGATCAACCATCTTGTGCCGTAGTGGGAGCAATGGCAGTTGCGCCATAAACTGTTTCTTTAGAGTTGTAACATCTCGTGGCAACTCTACTGCTTTGATATTAAGATCTTGTCCGAGAGGTAATCCCTCATTAAGATCTTGATAGGCCTGCCAGGACAGATTGTACTTTCGGCCCACATGGCCATGAACGCCAGGTATGGGCTGAATGGCTGTGATGATCGGTTGTGCTGGACAAGCTCAGAATCATCTTCGCCGAGGATGGAAGCGTGTTCAGCGGCGGCTGGAACGGGGGGAGGGGGCATCCTCAAGTCATCAGGAAGGAAGTCCTCTATAGGGATCTCTAGCACAAAGACGTCGTTTCTGGCAGTGTCAGCATATGGAACTGTCGTGGCAGGATCATCCACAGGAATGTGGCCTGAAAGATCCTGGATTGCTTTCTCGGTGATTTCCTGGAGATCTTGGGGTTGGGGCAGGGGCATGTCGATATCGGAATCGCTGTTGCTGCCAATTGTGTCATAGTCATTATCATAGTCATCACTAGTATCGCCATTAATCATAGCGTTAAACTGTATACTTGTATCTGATGGCTGATCTCCATGGTTTCCTGCCTGTATACCTAATGCATTATGTCCACCACTGTCGACTGCTGGTGCACTGGGCCTAGGGATTGAAGCCCGGAACAAATGTGCCCTCTTCTTCAGTCGAGATCGCAAGGGTCGAGGAGGCATTGCCAAAGATAGCCAGCTATGGCTGACCTATGTATTGGGTGGTTGCAGTCGACCAATCTTCTGGTTTTTGGCTCAAGTCCAGTTGCACCCAAATCCACTTTATATTTCCAACCTCCAAATGAGGTGTTTAAGATATCTTGGATTTTTCCAGGGCTAGGAAAACCTGGAAGCTCTGAGCAAAATTCTGTTTGGGGGGGGGGGGACTGTTGATGAAGCACAGCATGTGTCAGCTGACCACCTTGGAGACGTGGTTTGACAGGAGCTAAGAGTTCTCAGCAGCAAGAGATTTGAATGTCCTCGAGGAGCTGAGATGTGGTTTAGCGACAGCTCACAATGCCTGGGATGTTTTGGCGACAGCTCACAATGCCTGGGATGTTTTGGCGACAGCTCACAATGCCTGGGATGTTTTGGCAACAGCTCACGATGCCTGGGAGCTTTTAGCAATAGATCGGTGATGGGGCTGGATGCCCAGGATATTTCAGCGACAGCTCACAATGCCTAGGAGCTTTCAGCAATAGATTGATGACAGGGCTGGATGCCCAGGATGTTTCAGCGATAGATTGGTGACAGGGCTGGATGCCTAGGATGTTTTGGTGATGGATTGTTGACAGGGATGGATACCCGGGGGCTTTTGGTAATGGATTGGTGATGGGGCTGGATACCCAGGGACATTTGATATCTAGAGAGAATTTCCAGTGCTAAGGCGATTCGAGAGATTTGTTTGGTAGCTGGAGAGAACAGCTTCGAAAGAACTTGGTGTTTCTAGTGCTGCGGGGGGAGTATCTTTGCTAACAATTTTTTCTAGCCTCAGTATATCAGTTTGGTTGGTGAACTTGAGGGCAACGAGGCACAGGCATAAGCTGCCAAGATACAAACAGGTTGGAGGTATAAGTGGCCAAGCTGTAGATGGGTCGGAGGATAGTTCAGAGAGAAAAACTCATGCCGTGAGGTGAACACACAAGGATATTTGCTCCAGACAGTGAGGTTGTTTCGGCAAGTTATCAGTCTGACACGTTTGCTGAACTTTGCTTCTGTTCTGAGGCTTTGTGTGAACCTATAAAACAATTAGTAATGATCAAGATTCCTTTCTTTCCTTGACTTACTTCTTCTTTCTTCTGTGGGCAGTGTTGACACGAAGTGAGGTTGGTGATGAGGTGGAAAAGTGAGAAACGGCTGTGAATCACAGTGGTCACGTGACCGTTTTGGGATTTGAAGCCATTTCCACCATTACTGCCTACCTATCGTAAGTCTTTCATCGTTTATATTATTCAATTTCATATTCTGTCTGTTATCTTGCGCCAGTAGGCAAATCTCTCTGTTTATTTCTATCAAACTAGGCATTCTGTTCATCACTCTCATCAAAATTCGACCATTTGTTCCACCGCAGAAACGGTCCCGCGTTATGCCTCTGACGCCTAACAATACAGAGTCAGACATTGATGTGAGTTGTTTTCTATCTTTCTATGCTTATAACTAATGCCTATTTAGCCCCTCCTTCGAAGTCGCAGCGTTTTCGATGATGATCTGTCAGAACATGCATCAAACGACGGCCATGACCAGCTCTCTGAGCGTAAGATTACCCTGACCCAGGACAAACCAGCTTTGTCAAGAAGCGCCCTCTGATTATACGTCCGCAACACTGCATCTGCCTCATCCAAAAAAAGGAAGCGTGCATCCGCACAGCAGCGCACTGCTGAAGCTGAAGCAGCCGGCGCAATGGTTGAAAGTTAAGGGCAAAAGGCCATTGGAAATGTACACCCAGGACGGCTTGACCAAATAATTACAGCTGAAATGAATGTCTATCAAGCTGCAAACTTCTCGCAAGACCCGGAAGGTTTCTGGAAGGAGAAAACCGATGCAATTGATAGAAAGGCGCAATTTCTTCTGCTGTAACATTTCACACATGACCTCCCTGGTTTAAAGGAAGAAGCAATCCACAAAGTGGTCCCAAACTTGCCCCCGTATTCACGGGCGTTCGAGAGTTTGCGCTGCCTTATCCAGGACAAGATGCGAGGCTGGAAGTATCATCTTCGGAATGACATCTTGGTAAGTAATTGGATCTACAAAACATATTAAGGTATGGTCTCACATATCTTAGGCGCATGTCAAAACAGCCATGGAGGCTGACGAATCGGGGCTCCTTGCGTCTTGTGGTAATATGAAGGACCTTGTGAAGACATTTCAAAGACGTTTTACTCCGGAGAACTTCTTTGAAGTTTTCCAATTCGTGTGCCACTACTTGAGCCTCGAAGAAAGCTGTCATACTGACATTCGTTGCACTCAGTTTGCTATCAAACTCAAGAGCAAACTTGGAAATCTCCTCCTCAAACCTACAAGTCACTATACATATTTTGGCTTATCACACCAACAACAAGAGCAATACTACTCAACGATTGCTACAACCATCTATGATTCATTACACGTCATCGCTCCTTAGTTACTGGGCCGATTACCACATAGCATATCTCTACAACCCTCTATGATTCATTACATGACATCACTCATACTACCACATGACATATCTCTACCAACTAGAGGCCTAGGAGCATGAATGATAGCTCTAAAAGCTCCTACGAACCTCTATAATTCATTACATGTCATCGCTCTTTAGTTACCCACAAGATTGGTTAAGTTATGACATAATTTGTCTATGACATAATTTGTCTATGACATAATTTGTCTATAGGGGTACTCTGACCTTGGACCTCCTTTTACTTCCTATAGGCTATGAACCTAAGAGATGGTTCTATGGGATTCTCTTACGTCGACTACAGTTACCAAGCCTGGTAAGTCATGGAAAGTCTTGGAAAATGAGAGAACTACATTCCTTTAGCATAAATAGGATTGCCCTTTCCTTAAGAAAGGGCAAGCAGACAATACAGTAAATCGACTATCACATACTTCCACGTCTTTTCCAAGCTTCCAAGCATTTATCTTGTTACTCTGAAAAGTCAGTGAGGTGTTAACCTCTGACTTACCCCTGAGTTCCCAGACTCAACATTTGTTGCAACTTGTCTGAACCACTTCACTACATCACACACCTGATTGCTGCGTTATGGAATAGTCTAAGCTACGACCCTTTGGCTCTTTTTCCTAAGACAGTGTGTTGTCTTAGTAAATTCATCCCTTCCTTGGGTGGCTAGATTCTCACATCTGGTGCACCCACCATTACACACCCGCACTCACGCACAAATTTGACAAAATATATGGAACAATTCTCACTCTTAGAGACATACGACTTACTCAAACGCGATGCCTTTTTCGAGGTGGTCTACAAGACTACCAACGGCAAAGCACCAAAGGCTCTCACATTCAGTGAGCTGGTGAAAGGTGACGATTACTTCCTGACGTTCTCGAAGCTGCCAGCGCCAGATGTGAGAGGAGGACCCCCGATGTGGACAACAAGTGGCCGCAACAACCTTTTTGTTCCTTCTGTTTGAGATGAAGGAAACTTACAGCCACGGATGAGCTTTTGTGGCAGTGGTGTAATGCTGCATGAATACTGGCTTGGCTTGGGATAATGGATTTTCCGTGGAGTATATCTCTGCGATGGTATTGCTAGGCTGGCTGGAGATATGGTTTTGGGGGCAGCTGGAATCATGGAATATTGTAGGCTTCATGTCGCATGGCTGTCGGGCTAGGCGGGCTATGTCATCAGATTTGGGCAGTTAGGGCTGGAATTTGCATCAGAGATGGCTATATTATTGAAGCTATTGAAGCTATATACAATGAAAGATTGTTCCTAGTGCCTTCTTTCTCTCCATCTTCTTCGTGACCAATATGTGGATTACTCCAACTTTGCCGGCGCCAGAAGAACTCCTACCACAACCTTCGCTGTGATCATTCTGATCACAGCAGCCCCAATACCAGCTTCCCTACTCCGAAGGGTGCTACAGCTTATCCACACATGGTTGTATATTGAGGCTGGCATGTCGTTCTAGCTATCAACCAACATAGGATATTGCCCTAGTAAGCTGTTTTTCTGTTAGCTTTCTTTGCTTGGTTTGCTTCTCTTTGCTTTGACGTTGATTTGGGACTTGAGATCTTGCCGCCCGCCGCCAAATTTGCCGAATCCATCTCTCTCTTTCTGTCAGCTTTCCTTTTGGCTTTCTGATATCTTTTCTGTGTTGATCCACGACTCAAGATCCTGCCGCCGCTGCCATACCCATTTCCCCTGATGCTAGCGCGTTCTTGCCATCACGAGTATCTGGTCCAGCTATATCATTCAATTCTATGCTAACTTATCTATAGGTCTATTCCATACATCACCACGATGAGCTGCCGCTGGCCCCCGAATCCCAATCCCATTCATCGCTGTGATGAGCTGCCGCGATAAGCTGCCGCCAGCCCCCGAACCCCACTCCCAATGCGCCAACCATGGCTTGAACAATCTGCTCCAAGGATACTGACTGCCGCCATCAGTTCCATTCTTATGGCGGCTGTATGACCGTTCACTGTGACAAGAATGGCGCCATCACCAAGGCGGAAGCGCTTTCGATCAATCTTTTGGGTCGCCATGATCGATCCATTTCGATTTAATGGGTAATCATGGCCCAAACACAACCACGGGAGCAAGATACAGAATGGTAAGTCAATTTCATGATTCTACAACTATCTACATTCTATTTACTGACTCAAGGCTTTAACCATTCGAGATCAGGAATGGTTGGTGTAGGAAACGGTCCCTCCATGGGTGCACGGACCAGGAAACCGTGGGCTGCCCGCTCTTTTTTCTGAACGGCCTCAAAACGGTCCCACCACTCTTAAAAATTTGGCTGGGACCCCGGTAAGGTACAACCCTACACGGGTACTCGAGAAGCTAAATACTCAGTTACGGACACCAACTCCGCCCGTGGCTATTTCTTCTGAGCAGGACCGTTGGGTACCCGAAACACCTCATAACGCTGCTCAACTAGAGCTCCAGACTAAGACAGTTAAAGGGCTTTTCCAGGGTCGTACTACTGGTTCTTCTAGTCCTACGGAACAGCACTTCGCCAGCTAGTCAAAGGCTGTCAAATGGCTATGCACAACGCTGTTCTTCTTGTAGAGGAAAACAGGCAATTACGGACCGCAAATGAAAGACAAAAGAAGAAGAGAGCAGTAAGGAGGTCGTACATAGCTAGCGGAGGTGTTTTGACAGTTCAGGAGGGCTTAAATCGATCGGAAATAGATAATATAGAGCTTGCGGGCGAGGTTGAGGGTCCGCCTATAGGGCCGTAAACATGTGCGCCACGGACGTGTAGTATGTGTAAATCACTTGAGCATACTGCACGTACATGTCCATTAAGGCAGGTTTAAAATTAGGATAGTTCTATAAGGATTAATAAATTGTGTTGTTGTTAAATTGACTAATACAGTTGTAGAATTCGTAGGGAGTGCGCAGCTCGCATGCATGCGCAGCTCGCTTGTCAAAATACGTTAACGTACTCCACAAGCCAGCGGCGCACACAAGTAAGTGGCGCACGCATCACGAACTCTAACGCGTATAGTATCCTTTAAATCAATATGTCTCAACCAATTGACCTGCAATTAATCCACAAAGAGGGTCGAATGACTCTTGCACTTCAAGCCTATAAAAACGGCCATTTTACGAGTGTTAGAGGTGCTGCGGTCGCGTACGATCTTCCTGAGTCCACTCTGCGGGCGCGCGTTAAAGGACGGACCGCGCGACGCGATTTACGGTCCGCAAACCTCAAACTTACAGCTACTGAGGAGTTAACACTTATCCAATGGATATTATCTATGGAGGAACGAGGCCTACCACTTAGAGCTAATTCCTTTCGACAAATGGCAAATCTACTTCTTCAAAAACGGACTGACGCAGACCAGGATCAGACTCCTACAGTTGGCCAGAACTGGGTTTATAATTTCGTACGACGACACAACTCCCTCCAATCAAAATACACCCGTAAATACGACTATCAGCGGGCAAAATGCGAAGATCCTACGATTATTCGGGACTGGTTTTGGCTTGTACGGAATACAATTGCTAAATATGGGATTCAAGAGGAGGACATCTACAACTTTGACGAGACTGGGTTTCAAATGGGAGTAGTCACGACCGCGAAGGTAATTACAGGTTCTGAGCGGGCTGGCAAGCCAGTTTGCGTACAGCCAGGGAACCGCGAATGGGTTACTGTTATTGAATCAATATCTTCAGACGGATGGAGCTTGCCAGCAATGGTTATTTTTGAGGGCAAGGTTCATATATCGACTTGGTACACAGACACTTTGCCTTTAGACTGGACAATTGCAGTTAGTGAAAACGGGTGGACGGACGTAAGCCAAGCAAGGCTTACGGACGTATTTCAGAAGCATACAAAGGACCGTACGAAGGGGGTTTATCGGCTTCTTATTCTCGACGGACACGGGAGCCATTCGACTCCAGAGTTTGACCTATTCTGTCCGAGCACTCAATTATTACGCTTTGCATGCTGCCGCATTCATCACATCTCTTACAGCCATTAGACGTTAGCTGTTTTGCGGTTCTAAAACGGTCATATGGACAACAAATTGAAAGATATATGCGGGTTGGACTAAACCATATTGACAAACCGGATTTCCTTACAGCCTACCTTTCGGCCCGCAAAGAGTCTATGGCCCTTAATGTGGTCCGTAGTGGGTTTGCAGCTACAGGTCTAGTCCCGTACGACCCAGAACGAGTGCTGTCAAAGCTTAATACTCAGTTACGGACGCCAACTCCACCTCTGCTTCTTCCTGCCCTACAAGACTGTTGGGTACCCGAAACGCCTCATAATGCTAGTCAATTAGAGCTTCAGGCTACAGCAATTAAGGGGCGCATTCAACGTCGTACAGCAGGTTTATCAAGTCCTACAGATCAGGCGTTCCAGCAGCTAGTTAAAGGCTGTCAAATGGCTATGCATAATGCGGCTCTTCTAACGGAGGAAAACAAGCAATTGCGGACCGAAAATGAAAGACAAAAGAAGAAGAGAGCAGTAAGGAGGTCGTATGTAGCTAAAGGAGGTGTTTTGACAGTCCAGGAGGGCCTAGATCGACTACAAACAGCAGATATAGATATTGTAGGTAGGGTTGCAGGTCAACCTACAGAGCCACAAACTCGTGCACCACGGACGTGTAGTATGTGTAAATCACTCGCGCATACTGCCCGTACGTGTCCATTAAGGGAGGTTTCTAATTAGGGTAGTTCTATAGGGTTTAATAAATTGTATTGTTGTGAAATTAACCTCTAGAGTTATAGAATTCGTGATGCGTGCGCCACTCACTTGTGTGCGCCGCTCGCTTGTGGAGTACGTTAACATAATGTATGATGTAGTGGAGTGGTTTAGACAAGTTGTAAATAAATGTTGAGTCTGAGAACTCAGGGATAAGTCAGAGGTTAGCAACTCACTGACTTTTCAAAAACAAGGAGTAACAATATCAATGCTTGGAAGCTTGGAAAAGACGTGGAAGTATGTGATAGTCGATTTACTGTATTGTCTGCTTGCCCTTTCTTAAGGAAAGGGCAATCCTATTTATGCTAAAGTAGTGTAGTTCTCTCATTTTCCAAGACTTTCCATGACTAACCAGGCTTGGTAACTGTAGTCAACGTAAGAGAATCCCATAGAACCATCTCTTAGGTTCCTAGCCTATAGGAAGTGAAAGGAGGTCCAAGGTCAGAGTACCCCTATAACAAATTATGTCATAACTTAACCAATCTTGTGGTTAACTAAGGAGCGATGACGTGTAATGAATCATAGAGGGTTGTAGAAGCTTTTAGAGCTATCATTCATGTTCCTAGGCCTCTAGTTGGTAGAGATATGTCATGTGGTAGTATTAGCCAGTAGCTAAGGAGTGATGATGTGTAATGAATCATAGAGGGTTGTAGAGATATGCTATGTGGTAATATCAGCCCAGTAACTAAGGGGCGATGACATGTAATGAATCATAGAGGGTTGTAGCAATCGTTGAGTAGTATTGCTCTTGTTGTTGGTGTGATAAGCCAAAATATGTATAGTGACTTGTAGGTTTGAGGAGGAGATTTCTAAGTTTGCTCTTGAGTTTGATAGCAAACTGAGTGCAACGAATGTCAGTATGACAGCAGACTCCTTTCGAGTACTCTTTGCCCTTGCTGCCGTGCTCGGCTGGCACATTCATCAGATGGATGTAAAAACTGCTTTCCTCAATGGAAACCTAGAGGAAGAAGTATATATGAAACCACCACCAGGAGTCTCCATTCCTCATGGCAAAGCTCTCCAACTCCGCAAAGCGCTGTACGGCCTCAAACAGGCACCTCGGGCATGGTATGATAAGTTCTGACACACTATGCTCAAGTCTAATTGGCGAGTGTCTGACTACGATCCATGTATCTTCCTACATGACAAGTCTCATATTATCCTTGCTTTATGGGTTGACGACATGCTCATCTTCGGGCCAGAGCTTACTGCCATAAATCATTTCAAATCGCACATCTCCCAAATCTTTGCAATGACCGATAAGGGCGAGTTCTCCTACTACTTAGGATTGCACGTAAAACAGCAACCAGGAGAAGTCACTATCCATCAAGGGCAGTATGCGCAGCAAGTACTCTCGTGATATAACCTTACTCGTGCCCCACAAAGCTTTACTCCTGGCAACTCGCGAACAACACTCACTCAAAACGATGCAACTGCTGCTAACCCCGAGTTCAAACTCAATTATCAGTCAAAGATTGGGTCTCTTAACTTTCTAGCTAATAATACTCGTCCTGACATATCTTTCTCAACTGGATACACTGCACGTTATGCCTCAAATCCAAATCAAAGCCATATGGACGCAGTTGAACAAATCTGTGCATACGTTGCTACTAATCCTACTAAAGGAATTCGATACAGACAAGTGCTGGAATCAACCTTCACGGTTTCTCTGATAGCAATCATGGCGGAGAACACGGCAAATCAACTGGAGGGTACATCTTTCTCATTGGCGGAGGCCCTGTTGCATGGCGTTCACAACGCCAAAAGACCGTCGCTCTCTCTACTATGGACGCAGAATACATCGCAGCCTCAGAAGCAGCTAAACAAGCTATTTGGCTTAAGAACTTCATTAACAATCTTCAAATTCCAGGATGCTACATCGACCGAGTTCCTCTCTTTATTGATAACAACTCAGCCCTGAAACTCACAAAAAATCCAGAGCTTCACTCTCGGTCCAAACATCTTGATATCAAGTACCACTATATTCGAGAAAAAGTTGTTGACGATAAAGAAATAACTACACATCGTGTCGACACTCAAAACAACATCGCGGATATCTTCACCAAGTTTCTTGCAAGAGTAGTTTACGAGCGTCTTACATGCAGATGGGCATGGGAGCTACTTCGACCAAGTCGCCGATGCCACATCCATACTGGATCATTTGGGTTGAGTACGTTAGGCATAACTTGTGTATCGGCTTGGGAAAGGAAGGCACTTTCCAACATGGTTGGCGCAGAATTGCTAAGGCGCATGTAGTAGAGACCATCTTTCTGTGTTGCAGATGCCATTTCCCCTTTTTCCTTATTATAAAAGGTAACATTCTCAACAGTAGCCCTTGCATGTGTCTGTGTAACAGAGAGGAAGCTATGAAGCGAGAGTAGATTGCAGCGTCCGTTTGGCGCATATGCAACATCAGAGAATGATACCATAGTCGTTTTTCCATTCGACTGTAGGACTGGGAGTTGAATGATACCACCGCCACGGATGTCAAGAGAGGTAGCGCCATCCGCAGTTTTGATTTGGACCTTCAAAGGATAAAGTTGGGTAAACCATTTATTATTATTTGTAATGTGCATGTTTGCACCAGAGTCTATAAGCCATGCATCTTTTGTTTCAAAATCACCTACAACAAGAGCTGTAATGGCACTTCGTTGACGTTGAGATTGAAAATGAGAGGCTAATCCAATTGCATCGCTATCTACGTCCTGCCCGTCCTGTTCCATCACAGCGAGACTAGAGTTGGGTGTCTGTGTGATGTCGTCATCAGGAGGCATAAGTAGGAATGAAGATAGTACTCTGTGCAGCGTCCATAAGGTTGGCTTTGAAGTTGTCGACGTCAGCAGCAGCAAGAGCCGCAGCGTGGCGTGGGGTCCTCGACTGTGTGTGAGAGGTAGAGGCAGCTTTGGGCTTGTCTGCTGGGGCATCCTGACCTTCCTGAGCACGCATGTTCTTTGGCTTGAGTTCAGGGTGGGTAGTCCAGCAGGCTTCTTCAAGGTGGCCCCATTTGTTGCACCCAGTACATTTCAGGTTGCTGCGATCATCTTGAGATTTGTGGCCTTTGCCTTTCTCTTTAGACTCGGTGTCCTTTTGATTGGCTTTGCGTTCCTTCTTCTGGTTTTCTTGATCTTCTTCTTCAATAAAGAGACGGTCGAAGAGAAAGGAGAGATCGTGTTCTTCGTCTGGGTTCTTCGCACGGATCCAGTCGTATTGTTTCTTGAAGGTTCGATAGGATGATGGGAGTCCAAGGAGAATGTTTGATACCATTGGTTATCAGAGTACGAGTACTCGAGTTTCTTGAGATCGGCTCGGTGCTGTCTGTGCTGATTGAGGTAGTCGGCCATATTGTCACTTGTAGTAAGAGATAGGGCACTGATTTTTTCAAGTGTTTGTTCACGAGAACGGTGACTGGTGACAGCATATTGTGTCTTAATGTGCTTATAGGCATCAACAGGATCATCGATGTCCTCAATGTCAATGAGGATGCCAGGGCTAACCCATTTGTAAAGGAGCTCCATAGCGAGGCGGGATTTAGCTTGATATCTCTCCCATTTCTTGACAGCAGCTTGCCAGGCAAGGAGACTGCGAGCACTGTCGATGGTTGGCACAGTATCGATTTCTTGAGCAGCCCTTGAGCGCGTAGTAACATTGGGTGAAAGAGCTGTTTCGGCACTGTTGCTGTAGACAAGATACTGTTCTGGCTAGGGTTCATCCTTGAGCAGCTTTGTTTGCCCTTGGAAGATCTTGAAGACATCTGCTGCCTTTGTAGCGCAATTGAATTCGCGAGTCCAGTTGATATAGTTGGACTTGCCCTGTAGCTGTGTAACGGGTGCCGCCGTTACAGTACATGTGGTATATAAAGCGTGTTACGCGTATTCCGGGCGAGCCGGAATACTGTAGTCTTTTTGGCTCCGTGGGATGTAGCGCGAGCGTAACCGTACATCATTACAAGCTGCTGCACCATTTTGACTTCCCCTGGTTTCGAGAAAGCCATGGCTGCAGACACCTCCGTGAGAGAATAGAGTCCACAAAATTACAACGTTGTTTTCAAAGGCTCATAAGAATGCTGTATTTCGCCTTCATATTCTCAACTAGTTGAAACCACGCTAGCTCAGGATCTTCGCATAAGGCCCTTTGGAAGTCGTAAACGCGATTAAAACGCGTCTTTAACTCTTGTCGAGCCAAGAGCTTCCTAACGCGTTTCCCTCCTTGCGATTTTAGGATAAAGTTCGCCATATCCTCTACACTAGCCAGCCGGGGTGCAAATCCTCTAGTATCCATATCAAGTATCTTTTGAACAATCACCTCCTCTTCTAGTTCAGTCAATTTGTGACCTTTTGGTCGATATTCACGACAGGGGGTCGGCTGGTCATTCTGTCACGAAGTGTAGATTTAGGAACGTCATAGATCTTTGTAGGAGATTTTAGGTATGAATTTCCATTAGGGGTGGTTGGGAAACCGCGTGTTAAAGTTGATGGGCAGTAGGGTGGGGAAAAGTGCGCGGCATGGTGATGTGCGCGACATGCTGATAAACCACGTTATAATTTTTATTCATGAATATGAATATAGCCTAGTATTCAAGTTTATATTCGAATTGCTAACCCTGTTATATATATATATATATATGGATGGACATATAATATGTCCATCCATCTATCTTAGATCATAGGCTGTAGAGCCCACGCCCTCACAGGATACAACTCCCTAGGAAACCCTCGCTGTAACTCCGTCCTCAGAATTTTTAGCCCTGCCTCGTTGAACAACTCCTTGAACTTCTCCTCCGTCCTATCACGAATATTAGCATTTCTCCTATGCACCCCCAAAACCATCCACAAAAGATAAACGTGACGCCAAACAGCACCATAAGAAACAGGGAAGACAAACCGAGTGACACTGCTATCAGTCTCATCATACACATCCTCCTCGCTCGTCAAATTCTCCTTCACAACAATCCACCCCACCACCTTCCCCCCCTCCTCCCTCCTCAGCGCCTCTCCACACCTCCGCAAATACCCAACAAGCTGAAGATCCGTCAGGTGACCAACACACCACTGGTTCCAAACAAGATCATACACCGCACCACTCGCCGGCTTCCACAGCTCAAGCCCAACATTATACACCTCCCCCACACCCGGCACATCCGCCAACGCATCCGTAAACTTCTTAATCGGCTCCACAACATCCACCTTCTCCGCAAGCGACAACAACAGCCCTCTCGTAATGCGTCCAATCCTGCCCACAAAAATCCGTTAGCCATCTCCCTCCAGGGCACACAGCACTCCAGCAAAAATCCACTCACCCAGCCCCACAATCAACCGCCCTTCCCAAAGGCTTCGCATCCCCCTCTGCCTTCCCAGCCAAAACCCCCAGCTTCGCCATCAACGCCCTGCTCCCTTGCAGATCGACGCGGCTCACGTGCGGGAATCCGCCAAGCATGCCATCGACATCCGCATTGATGCCGGACCAGTACTCGATTGAGGCGGAGTGGTCGATTTGCGCGTCGGGCGTGCTGGTGGAGACGTCTGTGTCTGCCATGGCGGGGTGGATGGCGGGGTGGGGTGGGTTGTTTTTCTGGATTGCTGCATTCGTCTCCTGTAGATTCCCTTTCGCCTATTCTGGCTAGTGCCTTTTACTTTTTAATGCTCCATAACTTCAACTAACGTGCATGTATAACGAAAGTGCCAAACAAGCGAAAGTGCCAAAATATCGCGACTACCCCATAAGAATTGCGATAAATCCACCACAACAATATAAATTAATTAAAACTACTCGGAGTCCTCTTCCTCAGACCTGTCTATTACAATCTGACAAGTGCGCGCATTGTGTCCAGTCTCACCACACTTGCCACAGCGACGTGCATGGGTTTCTTCCCTTGGCTTCCGACCACTACTTGCCCTTATTTCTTGCTCTACTTGCTGCACAACATCCCTCTCGTCCTGTAGCTCCTGTGCTACCTGTTGACTAAGTGATCCTCCTTGCTGTAGTCGTGTTTTTTTAGCTCTCCGGCGCTTGCTTAGCACTTCATTTGCCTGTCGCAGGTTTTGGTTCTCTGCTTTTAACAATGCTAATTGATGCATTATTTGCGATGCACCCTTTGTAAACTGGTCAACAGCTGCATAGATTGAGGTTGGAGAGCTATTTTGATGATGCGCAATTCGGTTTTTAATGAAAGTAGACTGTGATACAGCTTCAGTTGGGTTATTTGGTGTCTGAGAAACCCATGGTTGAGCGGTGTTTGGGCGAGAGGTTGGAGGTGTTGGCGTTTTAAACCTAAGGTCAAGTCTAGATATTACACTCTCAGGGCTAAATGGAAGAAGCCCAGCACCTCGGAACCCTCCCTGAATATTGCTTTCTGTCATTGCAATGTTAAATGCAGAGTGGAAGGCAGGAAAGAAGTCATCCTTAGTAATGTGAATAATATGAGCCCGCATCATATCTTCAATTTGCTGACTGTAAGCTCTCTTTAATGGGCCAAAACAGCCAACATCAAGTGGTTGGAGTATATGGGAAGAGTGAGCAGGCATACAAAGCGTAATAATGTTGTGTTCTTTGCAGTACTCCTCAAACTTGTCTGAGTGGTGGCTCTCATGACCATCAAGGACTAACAAGCGATAACCACCAACACTCCGGGGCTTTGTGTGCTTCTCAAAATGCTGAATCCAATCCATACCTCTCTCGTTTGTAGTCCAGCCATTTGCAGTAACAGCGATTACCCAATCTGCTGGAAATCCGCTATTCTCATACCAAGATGCAAGGTGGTTTTTACCTGCCACAATGACAAATGGCGGCACTGCCCAACCTTGAGAACTAACGCCTTGGATTACTGTAACCCATTCCTGATTGCCAGGCTGCACCTTTTTTGCCTTTGCCCGCCCATCTGAGCTCGTTACTACCGTTGCGCTTGAGATGACGCCCATCATAAACCCAGTCTCATCAAAGTTGTAGATATCTGCATTGTTGATGCTATACTTTAGAATTGTGTTCCATACAAGCTCAAACCAGCCACAAATGACTTCTGGATCTTCGCACTTAGCCCTCTGGTAGTCGTATTTTCGCTGGAAGCGTGTCCGGAGCTCTACATGGCGCTTAACAAAGTTTGAAGCCCAACGTGACCCGACGCGTGGCGCGTCGCATGTTGCAAGTAGTCTATTTGCCATATCTTCAACAATAGACAACTGAGGAGGGAAACCTTTAGCAGCTAAGTCAAGTATATACTGAACAAGAACTGATTCCTCTAGGTTACTTAATTTCCGTAAGTTGGCTTGGATATCGCGTCGTGAAGGTACGCCTTGTAAATGGTGACGTAGCTTGTGGTGGTCTATGGAATAGATCCTAGCTGCAACTCGAAGGCGCAAATTTGGGTCGCTTTGCATAGCTTGGATAGCTAGCACTAATTTGCTTTCATCATTTTTATGGCGCATGTTTTGTTGTGGAGGAATTTAACATTTACTTGGGGGGGTTGGTCACCGCATGATTTTGGCACTTTCGCTTGTTTGGCACTTTCGTTATACATGCACGTTATCTTTGAAAGTGAAATAACAATGACGATCATTGCCACAATCGAGGGAGAAACAAATTATAATAATCTGAGTAAATAAATATGTGCTCATAAACTAAATAAATCAATGCAATCGTTCCCCCGCTATGGTATCTAACAAATCTTCTAACGTGGTTGTACACCGAGTCGTGAATGTCACCGAGTCGTGAACTTTTCCCTACTTAGCTACCTACGAACTTCAACACGCGTTTCCTCCACAACTACCAATGGAAATCCAAACCCAAGAAGCGCGAATCATTCTAGCTATTGAGGCTCTTCAAACATGTAAATCGCTTAATTGCAGGTCTGCATCAATACTATATAAAGTGCCTTATTCTACGCTTACTGATAGAATGGCCGGCCGACCTTCTCGACGCGAAACCAAAGCCAATAGTCTTAAATTGACTGAGCTAGAAGAGGAAGTGATTATTCGAAATATATTGGATATGGATGCAAGAGGATTTGAGCCTCGGCCTGCTAGTGTGGAGGATATGGCAAATTATATCCTTGAATCGCGTGGGGGAAAGCACGTTGGGACGCGGTGGTGTAACGCTGACTTCTAAATGATAGAAGACACAGAGGTTCTCTTGCGTAAAGGTTTACTTATCAGAGGAGGCAGGGGATCAGACACAAAGGCTTCAAGTAACACGTTACTAGTATATAACAAATACTGTATTGAGTTGAGCACGAAGCTCCTATCTAAGGAAATACTATCTACTTATATAGTGGCGTCGTGCCTCATGGGTAATCTGGATAGTTGGCGGATAGCTAGATATTCAGGATAGTTCGTGGATAGCTCAACTATCCAATATCCACTAGTTTCTGCAACTATCCATTAGCCCCGTCACATGGCAGCCTACCCCGCTTCCCACTGTGACTCGCACGTCACGTTATGTGACTCACACGTCACGTTACTAGGCCCTGGCCCTGTAACCATGACATCATGTTACTATAGCCGTAACACTAGGTCCTCCTCCAAAAGGCCTAGTCCCTTAGGTCTTGCTGATTAAGGAATCGCTTACTTAAGTAGGGTGATGCCCACTTAATTGTCAAGCAGGTTGCGCTGCTTACCATGTCTTCTAGTAGACACATAAAAATCAAAGAATGTCATCTTCTTGCAGACCGTATTGAAAAGAACGGCAACCTAATGTCGCCATGTTCCAGCTGTCTTCACAACAATCGATTCTGTATTGTTGTTGCTGGTAGTCATCGTTGTAGTGAATGTACTCGTCGCAATTCCAAATGCAACGCTTGCGCCCCTTCTCCAACTGATTGGGAGAAGCTTCGAAAAGAAGAAGAGCGTCTTGAGGTAGAAGAGGAAGCAGCGGCATCTCAGGAGCGAGAGGCTCACCTCTGTGCTCAAGAAGCATATGCCCGTCGCATGCGTCTTCGCAAACAGAAGAAGGCTCTCAAAACCTGCGGTGTTGAGATGCTGCGTCGTGGTCTGAAATCTTTGGACGAATTGGATGAAGCAGAGGAGAAGGAGTGTAGGGAGGCAGAGGTCAAAGGGACTCTCTTGCACAGCCCTTCTACTGCCGTTTCCGAGGGTGCTGCCCCTGACCAGGACCTTTTCGTGGCCCTGTCTCCTGGCTTCTTTGATCGCTTGGGTGTCGACGGCGAAACGCCTCCAGTAGCTCTGGACAGCTAAGGTTTCTGACCGTTTCCCATGAATTGTCCGTAGGTTCGTAACCTTTCCATTTTATCAAAAACTCTTCTTTGCGTCCTACTAACCTTCTGTCTAGGATCGCTTCGACTTCGTATTCAACAATCTCATTCTCTGGTTGAAGTTCTGTATCTGTCGCAATTGGGGTATTTCCTCTTGCTGGTTCCAGTAGTGAGACATGAAATACCGGGTGTAGTCTAGACTTCTTGGGTAGCTGCAGTCTGTAATTAACTGAGCTGACTTTGTTCAATATTTTGAATGGTCCCAATTTCTTGAAGTCCAACTTTGTACTTGGTCGTTTCGTTTTGATATGTTTCCGGAGTAGGTATACTTTATCCCCCTCCTTGAAGGCAGGTTCCATACTGCGCTTCTTGTTTGCATACGCGGCAGATCGTTCATTTAAGAATTGGATGTCTGTCGCGAGTTGTTCATGGAACGATTTCAGTTGTTCCACAGCGATCATAGCTTGTTCTGCTCTTGATTCATCCGGTCGTGGTTGTCTATATGCCTCTGGCTGATAGCCGTAATTGGCAAAGAACGGTGAGACTTTTGTTGCTTCGGTCATCGCGCTGTTATATGCGAACTGTGCGATGGGTAATATCTGAACCCAATTGTCTTGTTGGTGGTTGACATAACTCCGTAGGTATTGTTCAAGGGTTTGATTCAGTCTTTCTGTTTGACCGTCTGTTTGGGGATGGAAAGCTGTTGATAGCTTATGATTTGTTCCCAAAAGTGCCATTAAAGATTTCCAAAATTTCGAAGTAAAAAGCTTGTCTCTATCTGAGATGATTTCTTCTGGCATCCCATGATCGGCTAATATGACTCGAATGAAGGTATATGCGAGCGCCTCGGCGTCGCTAGCTTCTAGATATGGTATAAACTTCCCATATTTCGTGAGTCTTTCCGTGATGACGAGGATAGAGTCGTATTCTATTCCTGTTAACGGGTCCTTGGAGGGTGGAAGCTTGACGACGAAGTCCAAAGCTATTGATTTCCACGCTCCTTTTGGTACTGGTGTCGACTTGAGTTGTCCGTATGGCAGGTGCCTATTGGATTTTGACTTGCTGCAAATGTCGCACTCTCTTACCACTGTCTCTACCTGCTTCCTCATACCTGGGAAGTAGTAGTGTCGGGTGATTCGTTCGAAGGTTCGTGTTACTCCCTGATGACCGTGTGCTGGTAACGAGTGTTGTTCTTGCACCAGCGGGCGTCTCATTTGACTTGGGACATACACTAACCCTTTGTATCGAATCAATCCTTGTTCGTCGATGGCGAAGTCGCCTTCGACTTTGGACAAGACTCGCTTGGCGCATTCGTCTGTTGCGTAAGCTTTCTTGAGTCTTTCCTCGAGTTCTGTATCTTCGATGAC